TAGACTTAAATAGGGCATGTAAAGGGAGATCAACAGGTTAAAGAGCAATGCTCCTTTTCTTGGAGATCTTTGTGTTTTTCTTCAAATACTTTATAGCAACTATTCACTCTAGTTGCTTAAGGTGCTCAAGGGTTAAAGGGAACTATGTAACCTCTGATGAAGGGTTGTGTCAGAATTCATGTGGTAGTGCTTAATCAGAAATACAACAAAACAAAAACAAAAAAAGAATAGCTGTATACTCATGTAGGCTTTCACCATTCAGGTTGGTTTTTCTTTGTGATTTTACTCCTTAAACCTTTTCAAATAAATTATTGTATGTCAGCTTTTATCTCCTGGGTAGTCCTTGAGCAGTTTCCTGACGTCTCTCTAGAGCAGTGGTTCCCAACCTGGGGCGCGCCAAAGATCGCAGGCCTCAGATGATTTGAGGCCAAATATCATTTTTTTTTTTTTTTTACATATAATTGTAACGCAATACATGATTGTCGCTAAAAGCCGTCTCTACATTACAATAAAAATTGATGAATTAATTTTAATAAAAATTCAAGTTAGTACTGTAGCTAATAAAGGCATAAAAAGGTGCAACTTCCAACAGGAGTCATTTGGGGGGGCTCTTGGGAAAAAAGGTTGGGAACCCCTGCTCTAGAGAGTATACTCTGAACAGATATTAAGTGAGGGATTAACTACGGAACAACTTAAAGTTTTGTTTTAGACATGTCTGAACACATTCCAGGGGTAGCAGGCAGAAAGGCGTTTTTACTCTATTCTCTTTTCGCCCAGCTTTATCCCACAAAGACCAACTCACTGCAGGCACAACTCAGAATTAAAATGGGTAAACTGTTCATTTCTATCTTAAGGCCTGTGCAGTTACATTACATTACATTACATTACATTACATTACATTACATGTTACTTGTTAGACGCTTTTATCCAAAGCGACTTACATACTCAATACTGTGGGCAATCCCCACAGGAGCAATTTGGGGTGAAGTGTCTTGCCCAGGGACACAACGACATGCTGACTGCAGTGGGTTTTGAACCTGTGACCTCCTGATCCGAACACCAAGGCTCTATCCACTGTGCCACACGCCTCCAGTTGGAAAATAACTACATCTAGAGGGTGGGGAACCTCCGGCCCCCGGGCCGTATACGGCCCGCGAAACCATTTGATATGGCCCTCGAGGTAATTTATAAACACACGCAAAAAAAAAAAATTAAAGAAATCTAGACCGCAAAATAATTAAGAAAGCCGCTCGGGCGCTTCAAAAATTGCAGTACCCATAAGGAGCCGTACACATGCCGCAGTTTTTGCGTGGCTGTGTCTTTAGTTGAAAGCCCAGTGGCGATCTGTTCATCTGTCATACTGATCATACAGTCAATAACTTTGTTGTTATTAGCATCTGGTTAGCTAGCTATGCTAACGAATATAAGAAGCTTTTTCTACAACCAGTGAGGTAGAGGCACATCTTTATATGATCATTATAGTTATTATAAAAAAATAAGAGAATAAAGTAAACGGGTATAAAATACTATATGACAGTGAAAAAAAGTTGTTATTAATAAACAAGAATACAGTTTGAAAGGGGAGTGATTTGTAAAATATCCATAAAGAAAAATAAAATCTGCTTACAGTTCTGTTTCATATGGATGTTGAGAGATGTATCCATAGATCTCCTAATGTTGCTCTCAAAGTGCACCAGATTGATGCTTTTAACTTCAACATTTAAAAAAACATCTTCCCGGGGGAGCATGCCCCCCGGACCTCTCTACAGGAGGTTAGGTCCCCCCCCCCCCACTTAAATCATGTCCACATGGATAGGAAACTAAATACATTTGCACACATCTTGTGTCCATATCTTTCTGTTTTGGTGGTCATGCCACAACCGTGCACGTGCATGCATGCGCGAGTCATGGTAAAATATCTGGATTAAGAGGTTGCTTTTTCTTTGCACAGCATGAAAGAAAGGTGAAATGAATGGGCTGTGATTTTAGTATTTTTAAGCAGAGGTCAATAATTTGTACGGCCCTCGGAGGATGTTGTAAAAATTGAAATGGCCCTTGAGAGGAAAAAGGTTCCCCACCAAGAAGACAAAAGGTACAAGTACAGATTCCTGATGGTGATAAGTGTGTTGATGATGGAAAGCTCTGCAAACCAATAATTACTACAAATCTAACTGCATAATTTGAGGAGACGTGCCATAAACACTTCTATCATTATTAGTCATTCCATTACTAAACTGCCATCAACTCAAATCTCACATGAACAAGTTAAATGTGAAGAACATCTACACAAACCCCGATGTCCTCCACATGTTTCATCTGTGTTGTCTCCCTCCAGTTTTACTCATCCTCTTTCCTCTAATCCTTCCTATCCCCATCCCCTTGTTTCACTCCCTCTCAAGTCTTTTTCTGTCTTTGCTGCTTTGGGATAACAAATAAGCTATGCAATAGGTCTCATGTCATATCTATAATAAATGAGGCCTTTTCCACTCATCCTTATGAGGATAAACTAGAGACATCACGCTTGAAACTGTGGTGGAAGGGTTGGGTGTGAGGACATGTACTGCCAATGCTTCCTCAGAACAGCAACTTTCCACTGAAGCCGATACAAATTCAGTTTAGGGAAATGGCAGCTCCCCTGGGTGAGGTGCGACACTGACTTCTGCCTGGGAGCAGTAACAGTGATCTATCATTTCAATAAATGCTGTTTTGGAGGCAGAGGGGGGAAATGTTATGAAATAAATTCCCCTTGAGATTAAATATTTCAGTGAAAACTGAAAAGAATCCAGACATCCTAAAAAGCAGTCTTATTTATCCAAATATGTCTTCTACCATATCCTCCACTGTACAGTAGATATACTGTATGTCACTTATTGTTTGGGGAAGGAGATGTGAAGCTCCCTGGCAGCTCTCCTCCTCTTCCTCCTCCTCAGGGAGAGTGTTAATGAAGCAGGAGGCTGGTCAGATGGGAGAGACTCTGACTCTCCACTTGGGTTCCAAGCAATCAATAATATAGAGACGGCCACCCTCGCCGTCCTCTTCTTCTCTCCTTTTTTTTCCTTCATCCTCTTCGTCTTCATTATTTTACTCCCTATGTACCCTTCATATTTGTTTTCACCTCACCTCCCTCTCCCTTACATCTCCCTTGCTACCCTCCCCTGATCCCCGCACCTCGACTCTTCTAATTTCTCCTGCTTGCAGTTTTGCCCACCCCTTCCTTTATACTGTTAGCAGAGAGGAAGTTATAAATCGGCCTTGTAATTAGTATGACACTTGCAGTTGAATTTCACTTTGATTCGCATCTAATTTACTTCTCAGTCATCGCAGTGTTTTGACATTCAAGAAGTTGTTACCGAGCCTCAGACTTTGAAAGAAAACAAACTCACTCTCAGGAAACACTAATCTGAAAATGCTGAAGGAAATTGAAAATAAGAAACGGTGCAGACTCACATTGCTTTGATACAAAGTTAAATGAGGTATCCTATCCATCTCTAAGCTCCGTCAATGCCGCTGAGGGACTCTTTCCCACCTGTGAGACAACAGTGCCCCCTGCAGTTCACCAGAGGACGAACACTACACTTTTAACCAGCCTTGTTTTAGCCCCCCAGCTATCTCCTCCCACAAGGGGAATTGTGTAAATGGATTTAAATAAATGAATGCCTCTTCTGCTAGCCTTGGGAAAGCACAGCAGAAAATAGTCCAAAACAAAAAAAAATCCAACTGCTGTCGCATTCACAAAGATAAAGAAGAACATATATTTTTTCTAGCTTCCGCCTATAGGCCCACATTTAAGACAGCAGCAATTTGAATATGTCATGCCTAATTCCACGTTTAAGCTGAGCTGGCGTTCTCTAGGGACTGAATACAAAGCAGTGTGAAAGAAAGACACTTGACTAGTCAGCTGGAACAATACTATCCAGGCTCGGAGGATAATCAGCCCCTCCATTTTGAGACCAAAACTGCTTTAAAAGACACCAGTCATAACTCAAATATCCAGTATCCATGCCAACAAACAGCAGTCCTATTTAGCATTTCAAATCTGCAGAATATATTCCAAATATTTGTCAAAGCACTTGATTAATCCTATCTCACTAAGTATGTGGGCATTTGTGATGTTGGTCGAAGAATCTCATTGTTAAGTCTCGATAACATATTTTTTATCAAATCAGGTGGTTTAAAGGCTGAAAATTATTCACAGTGAAAATGAAACAGAGTTCTCACTCCTTTCTCTACAGAAACAGAGCAATCCTGCTCCCAGAGGAAAACAAAGAAATGAGTGAGGCAGGCTCATGAGGTCTTGGCTATTATAATCACTACATAGCATTAGCTAATTGGGATCCAAATACACTCTACTGCATACAAATGAATGGCAACATGGAAATGCTAACGTGGAAAGTCTAAACCATATGTGTGTTGTTATGTTCCTTTGTACATATTTAGGGCAAGGCTTAATTGGGATGCTGCACCAAAATCCTTAATATATTTATTAAATGTTCACTAATGTAAATTCAAACATTGAGTATTCAAACTGAGGAAATGAAAACATCACTAGTGACTTCAATAAGGCAAACATGAAAGTATAAATCTCAAACATATTGTAAACAAGCTTCAATACTGTGAGTATAAATGGATACAGTTCAATGCTAGTTACAATACAACCCTCCAATAAAAGGCACAAACTGTCCAATTGTAGCTGCAGAGGAAGTCTTTCAGAGCACAAAGACCCCCTGGAGGTTTCCGATAACAAGCTCCCTGATCTCTGGTCTTTACACTACAGTTACTCTGGAGCCAGATGTACGTCTACCTCTGGGTCAAGACAGACACCAGTGGGATTACCATCTATTAGCAGAGAAAGAGGAACAGCTTGAAGATGCCTCCCATTTGGCACAAACACAGAACAGAGCTCTGATTGCAGAGGAAAATAAGTGAAGAGAGAAGAGGAAGAAAAATAATGACGTTGTGTGTGCGGGCGTGTGTGTGTGTGCATGTGTGTGTTGTTGTACCTCAGAGTCCTCATTGCGGAGTCCCAGTTGGAGGACGGCGCTGGGAGACTTCAGTCTGGCTTGGCTGGACTGGGCCATCTGCAGGTTCAACTGCCAGCCCACATACTCCAGCTGCAACACACAAAGGAGCCAGTCTTTCTTCAATACTGATGTAGTTGTAATAAAGCCTCACAATCTAATTTATAAATGTCCGACACATTTTACAAGACTAAGTGAAAAACGTTGCAGTCACATTTATACTATAGGATAACAGTGAAGGGTTTCTGATTAAAAATATGCATTTGTTTACATTTTTGAAATATACATTTTATTTGACCTAGATTTTTCCCCGTTTTGATTATTATTGCTTTATGTTTTTGAACGCGCTTTGTAATCGTTGATTTGTCCAACTGCTAATTACCTCTATTATAAAATAATGATCATAAATGCAAACAAGCAAGTAGAACACATTGATAATCAAACTGTACAAGTAAATCACACTTTTGTACCTCTCCTATGTAGGTAAAAGACATTATGTTGTATTTGTTCTAAGGCTGCTATTTTCATTATCGATTAAACTGCAGATTATTTTACAATTAAGCGATATCTGTCATGTTATCGTAGATGACAAACGGTTGTGTTTTCCACAGTCTGAAAAGCAAACCATGTTCAATTTAATAATAATATAACACCATATCTCACATTTGAAACACCTGGAATCGAGTGTTTGTCATTTTGGCTTGACAATTTCAAGCTATTATTTACTTTTGTGATATTTGCAGAAACCTTTTGTTCCCGTGGACTTATTGATTAATCAAGACAAATATCATCTCAGAATCGTACGAGGAGTTTTTGTCTCATACTTTCTCTTTCTTGTTTTCTGGGACTTCAAACCGAGACTAAAATTAAAAACATGTTTCTTTAGTTGAAAATAGAGTGTGCACAAATTATTAATGGCTTTATTGCTGACCATGTACTGACCGAATAATCACGAGTGATCACTGTGTTTATGAATTTATGAATATGGTGATTATAAAAGAGATGAACATTTAGTGCTGTAGAACTTTTGTAATCAAAGTTTAAGTTACCTTGTTTCCCAGCTTCATGTTGTCAGACTATTGGTGTCAGTGTCAGTGTGCTGAAGCAGTGTGAAAGATGAGCAGCACTGAGTCAAGGCAGGGCAGTTAAGTGTTTTATGATGCAGAGCGAGGCCATATTAATAAACCATGTGTGACTTATTGGGAGGACAGGTGTGAGGTGGGGAAGGGCGGGGCTGCGTGATTCACAACACAAACAGCCCACACATTAGCATGAATAAACATCACAACTCTATGATGTGTTACTTATTTAACATTCAGTATATGCAAAGACATTACATCATAGTATTCATTATCATACATATAAATGATTACATAAAGGATTAATCATTAAAAAAACTAATATACAGTACCATATGAATGTATATTATGCATTTCCTGCTCCATCATGTTAATATTTGTTAGTAGGTGTTCCAAGACAAGTAGAGCAGGTAATTAAAGTAATCCTCACTGTTGTTCAGCGCAGACACATCTCTTAATTCTGTGTAAACAGCAGCATTGATTGAAGCAGGAACTGGGCTAATCAATCAGACAGCTGGCAGACTTGTCCAGTCTAGACAAGTTAGGAAATTACAAAGAGCAGTGCAGCTCAACACTGAGTTACTGAGAAAAATGAGTCTCAAAAGCATCAAAGCTGGAATCAAGGATGTTCAATCTCCAAACAGAAATGTAACCTTTATCCACATGCTAGCCAATCCAGGATAAATAAATACAATAAACATAACAAATAACTTAGATAAATATAACCCACAAATATAAAACATATCAAATGTAAATTATTCTTGTTTCTTTCGTGGATAAAAAAAAGTCTTCATAATAACACCTCTAGTCTAGTGGGACAGCGGTTGAGAATTTCCTGACACGTCATATTTTGCGAATATGAGAAAGCAGAGACAAGTTTAGTTTGGTGAATGTCAAAATCTAAAATCCTGTAAGAAGAGCATTACATCTTTGTCAAAGTCAAAGAAATAGCTAAACAGAAAACGCCTGCTTTCTATTCACTAGAAAAAAGCGGATAAGAAAACCTTAGATGTAAGTTATAAAATCAAAGCGGTAGCAGAGGTCGTCTCAAGGAAAAATGGCTTTCACCGCCTTCTGATGGCAGCAACAAATTCATGGGGGAGACGAGAGAGAAATCTGACTTGAGAGACCCAGGCAGGTGAAATGACAGCAGCAACAGCTCCAGCATAAAGTGACTGATATGTACATGCTTCTTATTTACTCCCTGTTAGATCTTAATTCCCTTGACTTTGTAAGGATTGCGTTTGAAGTGTCAGTGCATAATCAACTTGTAGAGAGGAACACCTTTTTTTCAGTTTATGTGACAATTTCTGTGAGCTGTGTGATAACTCTTTATGATACAAACAGCGGGAATGAATTCAAACCAAAGCAGGTCAGCGTTGATATGGATAGTCACGACGTTGATACACTATTTAGTATCAAGAGACTATGATGTCCCACTAAAAAGTGCTCAGTTCAAAGGGATGAAACCATGCGAATAAGTAAGCTATACTTTCAATCAAAAAGTGTCTGGGAGAGGATGAATCTTACAATTGCGTTTAGAAACAAGGTCAGGTTCAAATGGTGCTGTATCAGGTGCTTGTAAAGTCCAGAGTTAGAGGCGAAAAACATGCAAATTAGCCGTACCTTCTTTGGGGCGAAGGTACTGTGCTTTAGTTTCTCCACCAGCTCAGGTCCAGCTGTGGCCCATGTTTGAGAGAACGCCTCAGCCTTGTCTGGGTCAAGATGCACCGCCTCCAGCTGTTGCTGCAGAGAGGCCGGCTTCACATTTTGATACACTGCCTACAATAAAAGGACATACAGATTAGAGAAGTATTTTAACTATAAATACTGCAATTAACCATTTTCACAGGTTTAACAGATCCTTCTTATTGTCATATTCCTATTTCCCCCAAACACATACAGTACACCAATCCATGATACAACAGTGACCCCAGCTGGAGAAAATGAAGCACAATGTGATCCACACTAACAGTAACAACAGCAATATGCTAATTTCTATCTTGTGAAGCTCTTATCAAGTCTCGACATATTGATTTACTGAGAATATGCAATTTAAGAGATGTGGCCAACAATGGTGGGTTGTCTCTTTTCATAAGCATGGTTTGTAAAGTGATGCACTGATCTGTCTCTCCATCACTTTCCATGGTCATACAAACATTAATTTCTCAGTTAAATGCATTTGTGTAATGTAAACAATCCCAGGAGGTAAATATAAAGTGGACATGCATGTGTGTGTGCAATGAAACAACTTCTTCTCACTGGCCTTCTAGTCAGAGCGGAGCACGACTCCTGACATTTCCCTGTGTGTGATTTTTTATTTTTGCTGTTGTATTTGTTGTAAAGTGTTTTTATTGTAAAGTGTTTTTATTGTATGTACAGCACTTTGGCTCGACCAAAAATCGTTTTAAAAATGTGCTATATAAATAAAACTTGATTTGATTTGATATAAATGGTTAGTCATCATATTTCTTCTGTTTCTCTCTGTTAACTTAGTTTGTTTTTACAAACGACTCAAACCAAACAACACTTAACCCTGCGCCCTGCATTTTAGCCCCTTCTCGTGCAATGTCCATCTTTATTTGACCTCCTCTATTAAAGCTAATATCTAATGTTATATAAAATATGTTTTCAAATAACCAAGATGTATCTATCAAAGAACTCCAACATTGCAAAATGAAAACCTTTCACAATCACGTTATAAACTAAAATCAGGTAAAATCCTTTCAATAGTGTAGCAGATGTCGGACGACCACCCCTTACCTGTTCAAGTATAAAGGCAGCAGTTTCCAGGACCAGATGGAGAGCCTGTTTATCCAATGAGAGAGCAGCCTGGAGCTTTTCTTCCTCCTCTTCACTGAATGTACGCTCTCCCTGTGCAGAAAGCATTCATTACTGTGTCTGCTTGAAAATATCCACAGAAAAAATAAAGAACATTTAAGTGAGAATTGATAAATTATTGATCATAAAATATATGAAAAAGGTTTAATATAGTTTAAGTGTGGGCGTCAGAGGCCAGCATATGTGTAGCCATTTAGACAAAATATATCAGAGAGGGTTAACTGATGTGAATAGACTTTTTTTAACAGCGGACATTTTGGCTTGACAGGGCAAAAAAGCACTAATTAAATGATTTAACATTAAGAATAGCTCTTTGCTTGTTAAGTGCAACAGGGAGACATGTCAGTGCTAAGTATTTCAAAACATCAAATCTTTTTGGTTACTCCTGGGGATTACATGCTCCGACATTTCAAATGATCATTTAATTATATATTGTTATAAGACAAACATGTTTACCTTCTCTTAGCAAATCAAAAAATTAAAAAACAGACACAATGTTCTTGCAGTAAATGACTGACCGCTGAGTATTGTGTAGAAGCAGCATGATCAACAGGGCGGCATGTGTGTGCATTCATTAAAGCTGAGTGTAAGTAATACTCCAGCAGGTGATTATGCACTCTGCGCTCTCTAGCACCACAGCTTTGGTGCAAAAGCCTCACAAGCCTCTTGTCTTTAACAAGTCCATAACGCTGTGTGGTTGCTGTACCTTCAGATGCAGCTTCTGTATGATGCGGGAGATCAGCCTGGAGAACTTGTTCACATCAATTGCGTTGATAAAAGTTACAGCTTCTTTTATGCTGTTTGGGAAGAAGAGTTGCAAGTGTTAATATCAGCGGCGTTGAAAGCATCAGAATCAAAGTGTACTGCCCAAGTACATAAGACATATCTCAAGCTGGTTGTCAGTTAATTTCAACACATCCTCTATATATGGATGAAATAGCAGCTTAAAGGTTGGGTGTACATGAGTTTGAGTATAAAGACTATTACGCAAACACAGACATAATAGTCACATTCAGGTAGAGTAGGTATGATGTTTACCTACCTATTTCAATAGCTGTACATATGTGCATTCAAAACTAAGGTAGCAATTTTACAACGCTCATGTACTCAATCAAACGGGAGCAGTCAACATTATATTCAGGCATGTAGTAGCACTACAAACACTGATGTATTTCAAACTGTCAGTTCTGAAAAAATAAGTGACTGTAGGCCCAGTTTGTGCATCTTACATAATGATACTGCTTTACTCTTGAGCCATTTGTATGTGAGCATGAGTGTATATTTTATTTCCGTCATCTAAAAAATAAAAACGACTTATAATAACTATAGTAGCACTACCAATAATGTGTTACTATGGCATATAAAAGCACCCATTTAGAACATTTGTGACTTTTAACCCCCAACCTCTTACATAGTAATTTATGTACATGAGACATTTTTACTCAAATGCACAGCACTTCATTACTATATTAGAGTCACAGTGTCTTTGTTTTATAATATTAGATGTGGTTTGATATCCCAATGCTGCTGCCTAGTTTGAACCTAAAACAATGCATCATAGCTACAATATGTTGTAAATGAAATATAAGTGTAAAACCTTGTTCTGCAAAGTAACTTTTACATTTGATTTGAAGCCTTTTGTGATATTTTTAATTAATTTACATTTCCCTCTTAAATTCCTTACTAGGAGATCATGCAAAGGGGATTGTCTACATCTCAATGCTGGCTACCAAAAATACTTTTCTTTGTAAATGTTGTTGGGTGTGTTAGCAGACATTGGCAGAAGACAGCCTGTGTAAACGTCTCCCCCCAAAAGAGCAAAGCAGCAGGATAAAGTCACGGTTTAATGAAAAGAGCAGTAACACAAGTAGTCACCGAGACAGGGTAATGTGTTTGATAATGTCAAGTTATGCACCAAGTCACAATATGGATCACTTTGAGGAAGCCTTCTTTTCTCGTCATAAGACCTAACTATCATAACGTTAGCTACAGACATTTTTTATTTTATCTGAATTTAAACAAACAGAAGCTGCCCACCTTTGTGTTTCTTTTATAAAAGAAGTCATTGTTGGCTGTTGCGTTCAGCAAATGAAAAATAAGAGTAAAAAAGTGTCAAAGCAGCAGCAGCATCCTCACACTGTTGTCATTCCTTCTTCCTCTTGTCACGAGACGACTCACGTGACAGTCAAAGCTGCGCGATAATGCGCAGTGAAGTACAGGATCGTGAACAATAAATATACTAAAGAGATTATTTTTTTTAAACGTTTACTTTGGTGTCACTGATGAGTGATGGCACATCGGTGTCGACACAGATTTTACAAGCATATGTGACCATGTAATATATGGAACTCGCCGGAACGTAGTTTGCGTTAAAGCTGCGCAGAATAAAAGTGTCTGCTCCAAGAGTCACTACGGAACTAGCGATGGACAAACAGAGCCGGCAACAAATAAGCGAAAGCAGTATTATTTACGGCCATGATTTTCAATAGTATTGAACAACATCCTATATTTACAGTCTATGGTAACGTCCTTTAAATCAGGGGTGTCAAACTCAAGGCCCGGGGGCCAAATCCGGCCCGCGACTTCATTTTATGTGGCCCCACAAGAGCTTGCAAAGAATATAATATGTTTATTATACGGTTACATGCTACTTTACAGAAGCACGTTGCCCATAAACGACATGTCCCACGATGCATCTCAAATTTGACTTTTTCTCAGAATTTGACTTTTTTTGTCCAAATATGCCTTTTTTCTTAGAATTAGCCTTTTTCTCATAAATAGATTTTTTTTTCAAAATGTCACTTCTCTTTTTCAAAATGTCACAATCAATGTTTTTCCAGAATGTGGCTTTTCTTTTAAAATCATATTGTGACATTCTTACTGAAGAGACTTGCAATTATTTGCTCTAGACTTCTGCTTTCAGACGTAGTTAATTATGAAGTTATATTAATTAATGATATAGTCTTAAAGTTACAACCGGCCCTTTGAGTGCAACCATAATGCTGATGTGGCCCGTGATGAAATTGAGTTTGACACTCCTGCTTTAAATCTTCAAAATATCTTCAATAATTCTCCAATACAAGGGTAATCAAAATTGTACATAGTGGCCTCTTTCAGTGTTGTTGAATATGTTTTTAATCTGTTTTTAACACTAACAAAGACATAAAAAAAAAAAGAAATTGTAGTTTGGCAATTTGGGAAGATTAGTGACATAAAAGAGCATGTACAAAAATAAATAGTAGCCTACCTTTAAATGACATATAATAAGAACAATCTTCCCCTATAAAATGTAGCGCTTTCACACCGGTAATAGAAATATTAAGAGGCCTAAAATGGAAATACCAGTAGGCCTATGTTCAAATTGTTCTCAAGTACTGTTCTTGAGTAAATGTACATATTTATCCACTGCTTGCTAATAGGCAAAGCAAGTACACCTTTTTTTAGATATCATGTATCATTCCACGTGAAAGCAGAATTATCTGCTGACACTGTTTACACCATTAAGGGCTTACGCCTTAAAGGTGGGGTATTTTTGTTATATTCCATGGAATACTCTTAACATCCCGATAGCAATGAATATATGAAATGCTTTGACAATAAATACATTTAAAAAATGCATATGTGGAAGCCGTGGCGCTGTAAAACGCACGACCAATTATTTTAGCCGTCCCGGCTAAAATAACTGGATGGCCTACCTGCCTGTCAGCCTTCCATCTCGTGCCCTCATTGGTCATGTGCGCGTTCGTGTGTTTTGGAGGAGGGGCTCTGTAAGGAAGTCTGAAGGAAGGGGCAGATTTGTTTCGGCTGCTTACTTTCAAATTCTAGCGCACTCGAACTGGTTTCTCCATTCTTACCTACCCTACCTTTAACTAATGCTGTTATTATGGTTCATTAATAATCAATCATTATTTCCTTATGGGTCAGTGCAGCCAATAACAAGAAAATATACTGGGTTTCTTGAACTGATCTCTAAAGCATTAGTAAATGTGTGCATGAACATAACGGTGTGTATTTGTATGTATAACAAAAAATGCATGTGCGTGTATATAATAACAGAGTGGACATGTACTGGCATGCTGCACCTATGGCAGTGCTGATGTAAAGAAAAATTGACAATGTAAGATTATAGTAATGATAAAATAAGGCAAACACAGGTTGGGTTTCGACAGTTTATTATGTTGAAAAAGAAGAGGAAAAAAAAGTCATGCACAGTTTAAAATTAAGATCAATAGACATGATAAATCATTTAAAAAGGTTTGTTCATACAGATAAGAAAAGGGAAAATCATTTCAGCATATATATCCATATTTCTTTCACACAGCATAACTGTAATATAATAATATTCTTTGCACTGATTTTACAAACAAGCTGTATATTTATGACTTTCAATACTGTAGACCTGTTCCAATTTGGTATTGGAAATAGTTTCATGCCCTATCCTGTATTGATTGATTTATCTGGTCTGCCATAACCAAACCAATGAGACTGTACCAAAACCTCACCAACTGCCACACTTTGTCTTCTAAGTAAACACTTGAGTCAGTGAAATAATTCCAGTTACAAACTGACACAGATCTGAACTGTAGCAGCTGATCTTTAAGTGCCAACCTCCAGCGAGGCAAAAGGAATGTACCACAAATAAATAAATACTTCATTTTTCCTTCCAACTGAAAAAAAGACACGTAAAACATTTTTTCTTTAATAGGAAAAACAAAAATAGAACACAAAACAAGGAGTGTCAAATCACACAGTACCTTAAAAATGTAAAGTTTTGATAAAAGTTAGCAATTTGAGGTTTTGGTAAACAGATTGCATCACGGTAAACCTTGGCTGACATCTGCAGCTTCAGGAACGCGCGGCCACTATTTGAAGGAGGGTAAATTTGGCACTTTTATGCTGATGTCACCAATGTTGATGTTTCTGGGCATTTCCGGGAGGTTCATGTTCTTTACAGCTGATACGGCACGAGCAGGTGCCCCTGCAATACCGGCCTATACACACAAAACACATGGAGGGTTGAAAAGATAGAAATCAGTACATTTTAACACTTGCTGTACACAATAGCACATTGAACAGTGAACATTGAACATACACACACGGACAGACACACTGCGCTAAACAGAGTACTAGACAAAAAACAGTCAACTGCTGACAAAATGCAAAGCACTGACAGCTACTAAGACAGACATTATGTGCAAATGTACATTCAGATGCCTTCATAGCTTCATATGCACATGCATTATTTGGTTCTACAATGATTTACACCACAACCAGAGCCAATTATGAATCCACTGTGAGGACACACTGTACTAAACCATTCCCGAATTTTGATTTGCTGATCACTGCTGGACATTCATCAAATGGACAAAAGGCAGCATAGCTTGGAAATTGAACCCACCGGACTCTTGAGGACTGAGAAGGGTACAAAGGCAAGGAGAGAATTGGGTAAAGCAGAAAAATGGATTTGGATATGAAGACGGAAATGATGTTTGGATAGATAGGTATGTATAGAACGTGTGTCAACATTATATTAACCATAATAATACTGCAGGTGATGCTCTACTTCTAGTGGGCTGAAGTATTTTTTGGCAAGACTGCACATAACTTTAACTATCTAAATACAGTTTTGTGAATAGAGTTGCTAGAATGTTAGTGTTACATTCCGATGACATGAGGAGGTTATAAGCCTAATAAACTACAATGGGAAATCTATTCTCAGGGACTACACTCTAACACAATGAATCTCAAAGTGAAACTGAGCAATTAAGCAGTTTTAAGTAAAGCATCAAGATGATTTAGCTTTTTAGAACAATTAAAAACATCTGTGGAGAATGAAAGATTTGATGTTTTCGTCTCATGTGTGAGCAGGCATTTGAGAATCACTGCAGTTAGAGATCCCCCATCTGAATCTTTAGCAGACAGACCCAAAAATGACCAAACGGCTCAAACCGCAGAGAACTGTATGTTCTCTCACTGCCTTGGTTAGGAACACATCATAAATCACTTAGAGATATGACCCAAAAGGAAAGCATGTCTGGAATTTAGATTTATCCACTTCACTTATTTTCACAAGGTGATTTCAATGGACCGTTTGTCTTATAGGGCATTCCTTCCTCTGCCAAGAATCAAGGAGACTTGTGTTCGAAGGAAAGATGACCGTAGCGTTAACTAAGAGGAATGCTGATCCAGCACGTAGGTTCAGTATTCAGGAGTCAGACTCCAGATTATTTTTTCCTCACACAGTAGCCTAGAGACTTACTTTCCAAGTCCATGATAGTGGGTTGTTAATCAAACGCTGTGTGACTGATTTGTACAGAAATAGTAACATCAGCTGGGAAACACACGACAATGGCTTGATTCTCCGCTCCATGTACATCAGATAGCCTTATTAAAGGCTCGAGCTGTACCCCATCTTTTGTCTGTGAGGAATACTGGAGCAAAAGGAAAAGAAATGGAAAAAGATCTAGTGTAACAAAAGGAAAATCTAGTTTTATTGTTGAATATATAGGAAAAAGTCAATCAATTTTGTTAATACGCTTATTTGTTTTTTAGCCAAGAGAAGGAGAAACGTTATACCCTCTTGTGTTTGTAAAGTCATTATGTAGTTACAGCTAGTTATTAACTTGTTAAAAAGCTGTGTTAAAGAATTCAGAAGATCATTTTAGAAAATGGCCTTTCAATGCTGTTTAAGAAGCTTCTAAATATACAAAGTTATATAGCCTCTCTAGCCTGCCAGTTTCACATTCCTTGAAACTACAGTGGGGGAACAATATAATAGTTACACCCTACAACATGTAATGCTGTAAAGCTTCAGAAGTTATCTTCCCGGGAGCAGTGCAACTGTACAAAGTGCTCTAAAGCAATCTGTTGTATATGATTGCATTATACTGTCAGCTTTTTTGCAGTATGTAGTCCACCACTTATTACATTCACCAGTGGCAACATTTTTGGGTCTGCCATAAAAGATTCCTACTGTATGTTAGTGACGTCAGTTTGCTGTAACATGGAGGGCCGTATGGTGAGACTCCGGGGGAGGGGGAAGTAAACTTCAGTTAAGGTTAAAGTACTTGGTTGTAAATTTAGCAGTACCTGTGTCTACCTGTCCTGCCTTGTAGACTGAAAGATAAACGTCTGTAAAGAGAGAGAAGAATGGAAAGA